CTTTTAAGTGCTTTTAAAACTGTCCGGAAAGCTATTTTTGATAAGCAAATAACTAATTCACATATTTACAAGGTTGGGAAATGTTGATTGCAATTATTATACAATCATTGTGACTATGCTTTCTTAATCAACCTCTGAAATGGTTGGTCAAGATTGATTGATTATTTGATTGATTGATTGATTTATGGGACTTATAGGTCCACCAATCTCATATAGCAATTGACTGTGCACAAGAAATAATATTGCTAATATGAGATAACAATGGTGGGAAACAGCTGTTTAACTTCTTTATGCTCCAATTAACTTTTGCTAGGCTTACATTGTGGGCAAAAATTGTTTTCAGGAAATTTAGTGATCCACTAAATTTTTCTACTTTTTTTTTTCCTTTTGAGTACGTATAAATTGCCTGGGACAATTTAGCATCTGATATGATCACATGTTAAATACATTTACCATGTATTCTACTACGAAACAAAAAAAGATTCCTCTGTCACTGTTACTTAGGCTTATCACTACTTTACCTCTTGGGAGTCTGTTTCCTCATTATGTTATTAGGTAAAAGTGTACTGATCCCACTCATTTTAGTCATGGTTGTACAAAAGAGTTTCCTGATAGACTGCCTTTTCCAACACACTGACACACTCACTTATCTTTTCTCCGTATTTCAATCAAATGTGTGTTTCTTATACTAAAGCAAATATACCTCCTTAGTTAAAAAGCTATTTCTATCTTCATATATATAATATTACTCCAATCAGTTGAATGTTGAGCTAACCACTTATAATTCCTTGCTCTTTAAATTAAAACATACTGGAAGATGAATAAAGTTGTATATGTATGTATGTATGTATGTACTGTATGTAAATATCAGTTAACGAGCAGTATAACAAACTATAAATCAAAGCAAAGTGATGATCAATATCATATAACAACATCAAACAAAGATTAAAATTAGTTGCATTAGTTTTGCCTCATGCATTAAATTCAGCTTTCACTTGATTTTTTGTTCATATATATGCTGTTTTCATCATCATTTCATGTATGAACTGAACAGTTGTACACAAAGTGGCAGGTGATAAGATAGCTGAGAGACTTCATCTCAATCTTCTTTATTTTTATTTCAATTGCCCCTGATTTTGTTTAATTTCTAGAATTTCTGAAATAGATTTTAAATTGGTAAATACAGTTTGCCACTGTTTTAGATTCATTTGGTTTATTTCTACTGTTTTTTGCCTTTACAAATGTGCAAATATAAAATTCTTCAGAAAAGCAAAAAGTGATATTAACAAGCTGCAGGTAAAACTCTATATAAAAGAACATTGGTTCACTAATAAATATGTAGATTAATTTGAGATATGTTTTATCAATGAACATAAGTGCATATCACTAAAACACTTCACAAAATAAGAATCATTTAATCAAAATAAGATTGTTGTCTATTTTATCAAAGAATATTGTACACTGGTAATAGGAAGTAGATGACAGTTATGAGTGAATCAAAAGTTCTGGTTAAGAATTCATGCATAAGAAGCTATGAGGATGGTATAAAATCCATATGAAGCTTTCCTTAAGCTTCAAGAGAGATACACAGATGCTATATCATGTCATGTAACATAATGTCATGTAATGCTCACTGTTGAAGTGGTGGGGGATTTTTTTTTTTTTTTTACATAGTATATTTCTTTTTTGTTTTTTCCCCCCCCCCCCCCCCAGTTACATGGACTACCAGGAGGCACCATGTGACCAGTTTTGCCCTTATTGGATTCCTCAGACATAGATAACTAGATATTATTCTATGGGGTTCAAGTCCTCTACTGGGAGTTGAACTCACAGACCTTCACACATGTCTATATATCCAGATTCTGACGCTCAGTGGTTTTCAGGAAGGGATATATAGAAGCTATTAGTACAGTGTATACAGTCTGTCTTCCTTTAAGCTCTCAAAGCAAAGAAATAGATGTTACACATGAATGACTCTATGACATATAGAAACACAATACCCAAACATTGGGTACATCTTCCATAGACCACATAACATAGAATCTTAAAACCAAAAGAAAATTGGTTTAAAAATTTGGAGCTCATTTTTAATTATTTGATATTCATTTATCCAGGAGTATTTGAGGAATAGTTTGAAATGCTTTAAGATATCTCTAGGAGAACAATTAAGTGTCCCTAGTCAAACAATTTAAAAAAAAAGTCTGATTTAAACATGATTTTCTCCCAATTGTATCAGCCAAATTGATAAAATATTATTCATTTTGTACCAGAAGGCAATGTGATTGATAATACCACTGGCTTATGAAGTTTCATAAAAAAGCCTATTATTAATAATGCCTCCACATAATAAAAAACTGTAATATAGAAGGCTATAAGTCAACTTTAGTCTTAAGAATTGCAAGATCATTCACAGTTATAAAACTGAGTAAAGCCAGTTTAAATATGTGAACTGGGTCAACTTACAAAACAGTATAAGTCCTAATCCTATATCACAGACAAAATCAATACTGGGAGATTTATTAGAAAAACTTTAGCATTGACTACTATTTTGTGTATTTTGCTATGTTTTCAAAGAGTATCAACCACAGTCTATTATAATTTTGCAGACAATTTGGTGTTTATTATAAATTAATGCAGTAATATTTGCTTATTACTACAATACCTTTAACTGAAAATAGAGTGGTGGTTTTGGTTTTTCTGTTTATACCTTTGAAAGTTCAGTTTAAAACTTTGAAAATGTAAAAAGGTTGAGCAAAGTAAATAAGTAACAAATGCACTCAGTGACCTATATTGTATTTTACTTCTGTATGTGCCAATTCATTATTTGTGGTGTAACCTTATTATAATAAGAAAGTAACTCTAAATGTATTAGAAGGCTGTTTAGCAGGAAACAATGCACAAATGATTTTATATCAATAGGTACCGACAAACAATAATTAAACTCCAAAAATATTAAATTCCTCAAGAAAAGTGGAAACAGTTTAGTAAACAGTTACCAGTTGCTTTAGAATGCTTTAATTATTTCTCAATAAATCATTTTCACACGGAGAACATATGGATAGATTTGTTTCGTAGGTTTTAGTACAGAACTTTTAGCATATGTCTTATGTGAGATAATGTGGATACAACTCTATGCTCAATCAATATTAGTCAGAAGCACAAAATTGGCTGCAGAAATAAAATGCAAGTTAGCTGTCAGTCAACTTGTTCACAGCATATTTTACAACCTCCTGCTAACCACCAGTCACGAAGTTATTTTTCTGGCTTTAGACCTCCACATTAGGCATGCAGGGGGTGCAGCGATTCAAAACTGTCTGTCCGTATATCTTAAAACAATCTCCCAGGTAATTTTCTTTTTCTTTTGTAGAGTAAAATAAAATTTGTTGCATTTTGTAAAGTAAAATATTTTTTTAAAAAAATCAGGGTTGTTTAGACATTTTAAGTTACAAAAGAGTTGACATTGACTTGATGACACTTAATCAAATAATCAAATGTTTGTGTTATTTACCTACCTTTCTGAAAGAAATCTAAAAGTCAAGGGGTCTAACTTTGACTGGATATGACTGGAATTGTTTTCTAAGATTACTGTGAAAGCCACAGTCCATCACTGAACTAATCAAACTAAAATTCCTGAGATTAATTTATTCAGTCTCACTGTTAAACCTTTTTTTTTTTAATTCTAAAATTACATAAATAGATTTTTGGGTTATCTCATTATGCCTATTAGTTATGTGTATCCCAACTTATCTATATGACAACTGATATTTAAGTACTTCATTCTGTAATTGTTTAGAAAATATGTTTTAATGTTTTATTTTAATAGCAGAGAGCATATTAATTTATCAAATGTTGGAAACTGAATTATTACATACATTAGGATCAAAAGTACCATTCATTTGTGAGTAAACTTATTGGGAATAATGGATAATTTTTGTAAGAATTAAAGTTTAAGAATGCTTGAGGAATGCTTAATTGTATTCCTTCAATAAGAAAGGGAAAATAATAATCCTTCATATGTTGAAGTTTTCCAAATTTTAAAATGCAGATTTTGCATTTTAAATATATTTTAGAATTAATTAGCATGGTTCAGAATTCCCAAAGCACCCAAGAGTAGAGAGCAAGTGTTTTATATTTCCTTTTCTTGCTTAATAAAACCAAGTTTCAATATTATCAATTTCTCTCCTTCCCGCCAGGCCCTGTTTGTTATTACATAACTATAAACAATAAATGGAAATAAAGTCAAAATACTGTAACCCAAATTTTAAAATAAGAACAAATATTAATACTTATTAAATTAATATGTATATTTTGTTCACATCTACTGTCATAAATAGAATACTAGAAATTTAACAAATGAACACATTCATTCATTTTGGACTATTAGAAAAAAAAAACAAAATTTATATTGGAATAATATTTTTTGAGAACAATGCAAAATATAGGATGCAGGTTTTGTATGTAAATATTCCTCTTTGGGATATATTATTCCAAATATAGCATAAAAAAGGACAGGAAGAGAGACAAAAAATGTGTTAGTTTTTAAGCCATACTTTGTTGTGGTCATAGATGGAATGTGGAGTCTGAAGACATTGATATGAGTTCCTTTCAAGTGCAGAAATTGTCTTATAATGCACCATGACTCTCCTAAATATTTCTTAGAAAAAGAAGAAAGCAAATAGCTATTGTTTCTGTCATCAATTAAAGTCAAATCAGTTTCTATCCTGAGGTGAGATATAAAAGTTCTTTCTGATGTGGTTGTTTTTCCATGTATTAATACTAACATGCTAGAAATTTTTATTACAAAATGATAACTACATACTGTACATCAGTAATCAGGACATCTGGTCATTATGCCTTCTGAAATTATAAGATCTTTCTTTGGTAATTGTATGTGACCTTCCAAGAGATACTGCATTACCGTCTTGTAATTTATTATCACTGATTATTAGGGGCTACTTATACTGCTTTTTTAGCTAACTTATTTTTATGCTTCTTTTCAGTGGGAAGAAATAAGTGGTGTTGACGAGAACTATACTCCAATCAGAACTTACCAGGTCTGCAACGTTATGGACCACAGTCAAAACAATTGGTTAAGGACAAATTGGATACCACGCAATTCAGCTCAGAAAATCTATGTGGAGCTCAAATTTACTCTGAGGGATTGTAACAGTATTCCATTAGTTCTGGGTACCTGTAAGGAAACTTTTAATTTGTATTATATGGAATCTGATGATGACTATTCTGTCAAGTTCAGAGAACACCAGTTTACAAAGATTGATACCATTGCTGCCGATGAGAGTTTCACTCAGATGGATCTTGGGGATCGGATTCTTAAACTCAATACAGAAGTTCGTGAAGTGGGACCTGTGAGCAGGAAAGGATTTTACTTGGCTTTTCAAGATGTGGGTGCATGTGTTGCCTTAGTATCAGTGCGAGTATACTTCAAAAAATGCCCTTTTACTGTAAAGAATCTGGCCATGTTTCCAGACACAGTACCTATGGATTCCCAGTCACTGGTGGAAGTGCGAGGCTCTTGCGTTAATCATTCCAAAGAGGAAGACCCACCCAAGATGTACTGCAGTACTGAAGGAGAATGGCTAGTTCCCATAGGGAAGTGCTTGTGTAATGCTGGCTACGAAGAAAGAGGCTACACCTGCCAAGGTAATAGTAACATGACAATTTATACTTTTTCAACAGGAATGGTACCACTCTAAGGTAGTAAGGGAACCCCTGGTGCAGAAATACACTGGGCCATCAGGCCAGCATCAGCAACTGCATTTCTCTCTACCACACCCAAACTATTCTCTACCTTTAAAAAGATAGAGAAAGCATTGTTTGCTATCTTTGCTGTGCTTGAGAAGTAGTGTAGTGAGGAATAAAGTATTAGAAGGAAACAGTGAATGATGGGGAGAAGATAGAGAGGTAACATTGCAACAGCAGTTAGGAACTGTCTAGGCTTTGGGGCTCTTAGCTTCAATCCTGATCTGATCCTAAGACGCTAACAGTTTTCAGTGTGTTATTTGAGCTCCCTAGTTTTAAAAGCAGGTGAAAAGACAACCATATTGTCTTTGTGGTTGTGGTTGTCACATCTCCCTGCCTGTTGTATTTTTGTTTTTGCTGCCAGCGCTTTGTGGACTATTGCTTGCAATGGAATTTTCCAGCCAGATACGCCAAGCAAGATTTGGACACTGGGGTTTTGGGGATATTAGTGGTAGTGGGGGGGGGAGGGGAGAATAGCAGCAGAGTGGCAGTCTGCTGTGGACCTTTTTCCCCATAGAGCCTGTTCCCTTGTCATCTCCTTGTTATCCCTTTGCCATTCCTCTGTTATCTCTTGCTCTCCAATTCTGGCTGCTGGTTTAGGTGCCTTTGTATGTCTGGTGGTTTGTATGGTTCTGCTCTTGGTATGAGGGCCTGGGGACGGTTTTGGTTGGGTTGGGTGATGGGAAGCAAACCATAGCCACAGGATGAGGGTATTTGGGTGGGGCTCCTGGTGGGTGTTAGTATGTGTGTGTGTGTTGTATGTGTGTTTGTGAGGTGTGTGTCTGCATCTGTGTTTGTGAAGTACATGGGGAAGGTGGGGTGCTGGTTACCCTGATGGTGCTGACAGCCGATGGAACTGAAGTGGCTCGAGGTGCCTGGCTTCCCCTCCCTGGGATGGATGTAACTGATTGTTATGGGAGGTCCTGGGCCTTGGGAATGGGGGGAACCTGGAGGGGAAGATGATGCAGCCTTCTGGGAGAAGGGGGCAGGCCACAGTAATAGGGTGGTGATGAGCATGGGGAGATGTGGTGGGAGAAAGCTGCCTCCAGGACAAACAGGACCAATGCTTTATACCAATCTCAGTTTCCAGCTCCTTGGTCTCAGCCCTGGTGCCCAGGCAGCAGACCTTCAGAGGCCCTGGCTTCTGGCTGCTCCCTCTGAATACCAGGTCAGTCTGTAATAAGGCCTTCCTCATCTGTCATTTGATCACCAACCTGGCATGCATTACTGAGACTTGGCTGGGACCGGAAGAGGGAGTCCCCCTCTCAGAGATGTGCCCAGCTAGATTTTGAGTTTGGCACTAGCTGAGAACCCAGGGAAGGGGTGATGGTGTGGTTATTGTTATCTGAGAATTGCTTACAGCTTTCAGGGGTGCTGCCCTGCACATCGATGGATATGAGACCCTGTTCATTGAGTTGGGCTCTAGGGATCAGTTGGGATTGTTGCTGTTGTACCACCTCCCTGCTGCATTGCAACTTCCCTACCTGAGCTCCTTGACTCCATTTCCAGTGTGGCGGTGGAGTTCCCCAGACTTATGGTCATGGGGGACTTCAACCTGCCTTCTTATGGGGGTCTCAGGTGGCTCAGGAATTCATGGCCACCACTGTGCCAAAGCTCAACATGGGACAGTGGTCACACACCAGATCTGGTGTTCCTGTTGGAGTAGTGGCTATGAGATCTGCAATTGGGGGGCTTTCAGTGTCCCTCTTGTCATGGTCAGATCACATCCTGATTGCCTTGAGATTCTCTGGTACTGCTATCTACCGCAGGGAGGCTGGGCCCATTGGATTTGTCTCCCCTGGTGACTGGTGGACATGGAGGTGCTTCAGAAGGAGCTAGGGAATGTCCTGTTGTCCCTGTTAATCTGCTGCACAGCCTGTCTGAAGCTTTGGTTGCCGCTCGGAATAAAGGGTGACTTAGGCATTTGGATTGGATAGTACCTATGTGACCTCTCCCCTCTTGAGGATTCCATTACTCCCTGTGGTATGCAGAGGAGCTGAGGGAGATGAAATGAGAGAAGAGATATATAGAGCACTGTTGGTGCTCAACTAAGGACGAACTTGACTGAACATGGGTTAGAGCCAATTTTAAGGCCTACCTTGTGGTGGTCAGGGTGGCGAAACGACAGTACTTCTCCCTTATTGCATCCACAGATTGCCACCCTATAGCTCTGTTTCAGGTGACACGAGCCCTTTTGGGTAAAGGGAGCCCAGGAATCTTTTGTAGGGATGTGTGGAAGAATTTTCTCAGCATCTGTCAGACAAAATCTCTTGGATTCATTCACAGTTGGATGTTGGCTTTGCTGCGGGTCTGAAGAAGATTCTTAGGGTGGAGTCTTGCTCGGTTATCTGGGAACAGACTGAATCTGTTGGGTCTGAGAAAATGGACAGGGTCCTTAGGACTGTGAGGACTGCCTTTTCTTTACATCCATGCCCCTCCTGGCTTATGAAAGCGGCCCAGGTGGGTGGTGTTGGGTGGGTACTGATGATGGTTAATTTTTCTTTGAATGGGGAGGTTGTTCCTTCACTTCTTAAGGAGGATTTGATTCGCTGCCTCCTCAAGAAGCCATTGCTAGACCCCACCATCCTGTATAATTTTCATCTAGTATCTAACCTCCCCTTCTGGGGGAAGGTGATTGAGAAGGTAGTTGTGCAACAGCTTCAAAGGACCTTGGATGTAGCAGATTTTTCTGGATCTTTTTCAGTCAGGATTCAGACCTGGATATGGAACTGAAACGGTATTGATCATGCTTTTGGATAATCTCTGGCATAGGCGGGATGGTAATAATGCATCCATCCTTGTCTTACTTGACCTCTTGGTGGCTTTCAATACTACTGACTGTGGTATCCTTCTGGATAAACTCAGAGGATTGGGGGGGGGGTGGCACGGTGTTGTGCTGGCTCACCATCTTTCTCCAGGGGCAATTCCAGTTGGTGGAGAACAGAGAGGAGAGATCCTGCCCTTAGCCCTACTGTGTGGGGTATTACAGGGGTTGGTGCTCTTTCCTCTCCTATTTAAATCTACATGAACACTGAGTGAGCTTATCCATCACCATAGAGTGAGGTATCCTCAGCACCAATTGTATATCTCTGCTCCTGGTGAACTAACCAATGCTGTGGACATCTTATCCTGTGTCTGGAGGCTGTGAGGATCTGGATGGGGAACAACAAGCTTCAACTGAACCCTGGCAAGACTGAGTGGCTTTGGATTTTGAGGCCCTCTGGTTCTGGGACTATACCCTTGTTGGTACTGGATGGGTTTGCACTGTCCCAAAGAGACCCTGTACACAATCTGGGGGTCCTACTGGACTCACAACTCCTGCTCAATGAGCAGGTAGCAGTTGTGGCTTTGCACAACTTTGTATTGTGCACCAGTTGCATCTGTTCCTGGACTGTGGGCCTTACCCAGGGTCACTCATGCCCTGGTTACCTCCCGTTTGGACTACTGCAATGCACTCTACATGGGACTTCCCTTGAAGAGTATCTGGAAACTACAGCTGGTGCAGAGTGTGGCAATGTGGGCAGTTATGTGTGTTTCTGGTAGAACACACATTACACCTCTGCTTTGCAAGCTGCATTGGTTACCACTCTGCTTCCTGGTCTAATTCAATGTGCTGGTGTTGACCTTTAAATCTGTTCATGGCATGGGACTGGGTTATTTGAGGGGCCGCCTCTCCCTGATTTCATATGCCATTCCCACTAGATCCAGCAGAATGGGTATGTTATGGGTTCTGTTATCTAGGGAGCTACATGTGATGGGCCCTAGGTGCCTGCATTGTGGAATCTTCTTCCACCAGAGTTGAGGCTGAGCTCATTACTTGAAGGTCCCTCAAGACTTGGCTATGCCAGCAGGTCTGGGATCCCAGGAAAGGGTGAATTAGTGAGGTGGCTCCAGTATTATTAACATCCCTCCATTTATTATTTTTTTCCTGTTTTAGCTCTGCTTTTATAGTTCTTAATGCTTTTTCATAAATATAATGTTTTTTAGACAATACTTTTTAATATATTTATTGTTTTATTGGCTTGTTGCATACTATCCAAAGTCACTTTTTGTGAGATGGGAGGCCATATAAATTAGATAGATGATAGATAGATAGATAGATAGATAGATAGATAGATAGATAGATAGATAGATAAATATTGTGAATTGCTACACAAATTACTTCCAAGATAAATCTTTTTCAAACCAAATGCACGCAGCCAAAAATTATCTAGTTAGTTGAAATTAAATGTGAAATTCAACCACATTCTATCCTAGCTCTTGTTTCCTTTTCCATTATGTTTCTTAGAAGAAGCCACAACAAGCAAGATTACTGTCAAGGTTTTAATCTTAGGTTATGTTCTTCCTTAGATAAGATGTCTACTTTCTTTTGGGTTCCTTAAGATTCTACCAATGCTCAGTCTACTGTTTACTCTGATTTCTGTTTGTTTGCTAGCTTGCTTTACACAACCTATTTTTAAAATATTTTTCTCTCATTATTTCAAGCACTGGCACCTTGTGACCTCATCCGCTATGCAGTAGAAGCAGATGTAACTTTTTGAATTTTGAAATTGTGTGGTGGCTGACATGGGAAAGTTGCCTGTTCATTAAAAGGATACTATGATAAGCAGAGCCAGTCACAAAACATCCATTTATTGAAAGGCTGCTTAGCCCATCTGGGATACTCTCTATCATAATGGACAGACTCTGGACCAGGAAGCATTTCTATCTATATATATGATGTCAGAGCCAGTGCTTTTCTTTGCAACATGCTAGCTTCCTATTTAATGTTTATCACTGTAGGCACATTGTATCCCAAAGAGCCAGTTTGGTGTAGTGGTTAAGTCACCAGGCTCGAAACCAGGAGACTGTGAGTTCTAGTCTTGCCTTATGCACAAACCCAGCTGGTGACCTTGGCCCAG